AGTGAACGCGGTGGCCTTCTCACCTAACGGCTCACTACTGGCCTCTACATCACGCGATAAGACGGTCAGGCTATGGAACCCGCGTACAGGTCAAGAGGTGCAGAAGCTAGAGGGACACACTGACTCAGTGAACGCGGTGGCCTTCTCACCCGACGGCTCACTACTAGCCTCTGCATCACACGATATGACGGTTAGGCTATGGAACGCGCGTACGGGTCAAGAGGTACAGAAGCTAGAGGGACACACTGACTCAGTGAACGCAGTGGCCTTCTCGCCCGACGGCTCACTACTAGCCTCTGCATCATACGATGAGACGGTCAGGCTATGGAACCTGCGTACGGGTCAAGAGGTACAGAAGCTAGAGGGACATACTGACTGGGTGAACGCGGTGGCCTTCTCACCCGACGGCTCACTACTAGCCTCTGCATCACGCGATGAGACGGTCAGGCTATGGAACCCGCGTACGGGTCAAGAGGTGCAGAAGCTAGAGGGACACACTCACTCAGTGAACGCGGTGGCCTTCTCACCCGACGGCTCACTACTGGCCTCTACATCACGCGATAAGACGGTTAGGCTATGGAACGCGCGTACGGGTCAAGAGGTGCAGAAGCTAGAGGGACACACTAGCTGGGTAAACGCGGTGGCCTTCTCACCCGACGGCTCACTACTAGCCTCTGCATCACACGATGAGACGGTCAGGCTATGGAACGCGCGTACGGGTCAAGAGGTGCAGAAATTCGAGGATATGCCGCCCGTTGCAACCATCAGATTTACGATCGACAATAAGACTTTACTCACTAATCGAGGAACTCTATTTATCGATGATCGACTACTTCCTAGCCAGGCCATCGAATCTTCAACCAACGAAACTATTGTAATCAAAAATGAGTGGATTCGACGAGGTGAACATAATCTTCTCTGGCTTCCACATGAGTATCGAAGTGATTGTTCGGCATTCTACGGCAATACGATTGCTATTGGGCTGAATTCCGGCCAAGTTAGCTTTATCCAGCTTAATGGTCTTTAATGGCATAATCTTTATTTTTTTTTACTCCCTTCGTATTGAAGAGGTCTGGGGAACTGCTTGATTATATATCCCTCGAGCTAGATTCTAGAAGCTTCCTTACCAATAGAGTAGCCTAAGATCAGCTGCTGTGAAGCCGCCTGTCTGACCAGGGTTACAGTAATGGGTGGCGCGGTGGAGTGTAACATAGCAGAGGTTACCCTGATAAGTCCTCCAGACATTCCAGCATCGTCTTCCTTATGGTGAGCAGCCATAGATTTCCGAGGAAAATGCACACGGAAGGTCAAAATCCTAGCAACAATAGCATTGGACAATTGCGAGCGTATGAGAGCGGTACTATTAGACCATATCCAATCGGCCACAAAGGTGACAGTAAAATCATCTTCTTAGGCTCTGGATCGCAGGAATGTGGCAATACTCTTTGTGAGGGTTTGGAAAGAGTTCTGTAACTAGCTAGCCAACCTAGTAACAAGGAGGACAAATCTGAGGAGAGAAGGAAAGAAGGAAGAACGCTCTCCCTCTCTCTCTTTATATCGTACGCCCTTCTGCAAGGGGTGCCCTTTGTCTTGCCCCCCCTCCCTTGTCTCCTTATTCCTGCGTACGCCATCCGTCCCTTGCATACAGTGTTCCAGTTGTCAAGGTCCTTCTAGTCTGCACTCTTTACCCAGCTGTGCGCCCCTTGCGTGGCCGTCGTACGGCTAACCAATCAGAGGGCAGGGATTTGCCTGCACAATGTACAGGCAAATCTGACCAATTAGAATGGGGCTTGGCGCTGGTCCTCCTGAACCGAGCCTCCTTCAGGGTTCAACCCGTCACACTCTTAGATTTATGCAGGATCAATCTTTCAGTATTCCGATCGAAACGCATTACTGCGTCAATGTTAGGGATCCCTCCCCAAACACAGCAAACAGGCCAACCCGGACCAACGGAGGAGTCAGCAGGGCTGCCACAGATAAGAAGCGCAGGAGGAGCGCACCCTACTCAAACCCTCTTCAAGGCTTTGAGTCTCTGTATATAGGGCTAGAGCTACCAATACTAGGTGTTATTGCTTCTATTGACCTGCCTATCTATCAGCTTCCCTTACAGTCAAGTCTTTACAACCTGCCTTACCAACCTCGTAAAAAGGAGGGCGTTAGCGCCATTGATCATTGGGTGATGTGTTAGAGAGGACTGAAACATATCTGGCTAGAACCGTCCCACTTATTTATTAGTTTTTTACCTGAGAAAGTCGCAGTGTTTGTAGGAAGGGGAGGGCGGTTTCGGGAACGACTGTAATCTGACCCAGCAATGGCCCAAGATTTGCGGTAGAGCCCGGTACACCGTGGGACTGGGGGCGGGGCCAGAATCACAACGGGCTGCATTGGGAAGAGCCAAGAACGCTGGGCCAGGTGTGCGGGAGTCAGAATCACGGCAGTCTGAGTCTAAAGAGTCTGGAATATTGTGACACTCGCCCGCTGGAGTCCAGGACACTACCTCGATGAGGTCAATCACAACCAGATCTACATCCTTGGGAGAGCGGTCACCTCCCCCGCAGACTTCGGCAGACCCCTCGAATGAAGAAGGCAAATGGGATCAACACCATACTATTCAGTACCACAAGAGTTTAGGCTCAAACCGACGGTGACTCGACAAGTAGCGGCCGCCTCCTGCCCAGATACTCTCAAAGTCCACCGAGGGAACAAGCACAGGCTCAGAGGATAACACATGCAAAGAGTTTCTATGACAGCGACATCGCCGCGCTACAGGCCATTATAGATACTCCAACCAGAGGGTCGTATCAGATCTACTTTGCCCTGGACTCTTTCACGCTCTGTTATTGCTCTTGTGAATCCCCTTGACACTTTCTCCAATTGCAACAAGCCCCAAGTATCCTCGACAAACACCGCCGGGGCCATCTAGAGAAAGATATCGCAAACATCTTGCAGAAGTGTCACCGAAAACGACGGCTACCCTCTACTTCATAGGTGTCGAAGCCGTGGAAGATACCGACGTCGACCTAGCCAGCACCGTCGCACTCCTTTCATCGTACTGACGAGCTTCTCTCCACTGAGCATTGTATCAACACGGGAAATGTCAGCCTTGCGACAGGAGATAATGTGACGTTCACCAATGCACGCCTGCTGGTGGTTTCTGATACGTTCTCGTACCGATCAACACTTCTCAAGCAAAGTTTCAGTGGTGTGATGCACTGAAGAGCGGCCATGGACGATGGACAGAGTCAGCGAACTCATACTGATACTCAGTGAAGCTGTCGATGATCTGACAAGCTGTGTATGATTGGCGTTTGGCACAAAGATTCTACGTTGTGGAGAGCCATATCTGGCAGAAGCTAATGTCCATAGGTTTTGTTATCATGTGCCTATACTCGAAAGGGATGCGATGATTTACCATGTTTGCGAAGAGGCCCGTACCTGTGCCGTTCCAGCGCTCGACTATGTACCTGTTTGCCATCTGAAGTCCAAGGTAACAGCCGCACCCGACTGAGTACCGACTGCTTCCTCGTCCTGCATCCACGGTAGGCCGTCAGCATTCCCATGCAGGGCGCCCGCCTGATATCACATCTTTGGGCCGGGATAATAGGAGTATAGCACTCAGGACCAGTTACCCAACCGGCTTGACCGCTTTCCCAAGCCTTGCTTCACAAACAAGTCTTGACTGCACCGTGGTCTGGAATTAGCTCTGGCCGAAGCAACGCGGAATCCTTTTCAAGGCCCAAACTACAGCAAGTCTTTCCAGCTCCGTGCTCAATAATGCTCGCCCGTCGGCTACTTTCCCTCTCTTCGCTCAAAGTCTTTCGTTCTTCCGCGCATTTGCTACTACCACCCTATTACAACACCTTCGCAGCCCTGCCTTGGACATCTGGATCCGTGAGTTGAGGAAGTATGAGAGCATCTTCGGTCAACCTCTCCATGTGTTGATCCGTCAATACGAAATCAAGGACTGCAAGGAACGGCGCCGACTGGCGGAGAAGAGGCGCTCCATCCGATGCATGCGCAACACATCGGAATGCAGAGAGCGAGAATTCCCCATCTGACAAAATCAGAGAAAGCGAAGTTCAAACCAGAGGAGCAGCCAATCTTTTCCTACCGATGCATCTTCCTCACGGCAGGCATCAAGGCCCTGGACAAAGAGAGGATAGGTCTATCGATCTTGTCTTCCCGACCTGGTCAGGCAATACAGTGGTAGCCCTGATGTGTGTCAATGCCAGGATGGCCCCAAAGCCTACCCCCTTCCCAGGCAGACAGCTTCAGATGCGGAGTCTCCCTCGTGGCAGCTGCCCGAAGCCCAATCTATTATGGCCCACGAGTGTTGGTGGAGCTGCACCGAGGACCTCATGCCCAAGCCGACCACTCTCTTTCACCCCTCTGAAGGCTCATCACCAAGGCTGTGGGAGGTTCACTCCTGCCCGTCCTCGGGAAGGGATGCGATGAGGATTTGCACAAGCAGCCACGTTGGCAAAGATCTAGACGCGCAGGAGGACCGACACCGACGAGGTCTATAAACGGCGAGCGCCGCTAATGGTGCAGAGTGTCGCATTCTCCAAAAGAATACATCAAGGGAACATCAGAACAAATACTCGAGCATTCGGTCGGCTCCTCTCAGACCCGTGGCAAAGCCAGAGATACCTACCAGGGGTTAGCAAGTACCATACACTTACAGGATCACCCGAAGATTTTGCCGCTTATATGGACGGATTGTCTCAACACCAGACCGACAGTGAACTCTGAGTCGAGTGAGGCTCGTTAAGGAGAACCCGCCCTATAACCAGTACGTCGAAGTTCGAGATTCCGAAAACCCTCCTCGAAGCCGGCATTGACATCGATCACGGCGACTGCGGAGGCATCAAGAGGAACATCGGCCGACGAGCTACACCCTGCCCGGGACGAGATGGCCGCCAATGTACCGCGGACAAATGTTTTTGACAGATTGAACCAACAATTAGCACAGAAGCAGAGAGCAGTTGAGGCAGAAGCCATGCCAACCCAGTCTCAAGCCAAGCGGCATTCACTGACCAAGACAAGGATGGCAGCCACCTGGGAAACGCTGTCACGAAGGATTCTTTGGCTACGTGGCCTTCCCCCTATCAACATAAGGTGACGAGAGCGCGACGTGCACCTATTCAGACTCGATGGCACCTACAGAGTGGAGATCAGCAGCTCTGTCCCATATCCGAATGTCTCAAATACCGGACAGAAACCGCCCTCCGATATGCAAAAGCCCCGTGTTGCATATTCCGTCCACTCCTTGAGCATGAGATGCAGAAACACCGCTAGCAAAGCTCGTCCCAGTACAATGGATTCAAAGAGCGTCAATGTCTCGTCGCTCTGACATGCTGGGATGTACTGCTACCTGGAATCGGACATTGAAATAGAGATACCTTGGTCGAAGTTAGAAACAAAGACTCTGTGGAACAGCAGAGCGACGGAGGCGAATACTCGCTGCTCAGAACATGACCTTCACCGATATGTCTTCAATACGTTATGCCAGAAGGTTAAACGAACACAGCAATGGAACCTATCCTTGGTTTACACTCCAAGATGTAAGAGGCAATCGCCGCCTTTACAGCGTGCAGGGACGGGAAGTGGAAGACCTCTACACAGCAAACAGATCGATGTTCGGCCAGCCGTGGACATGCTTGGAGCAACCCGCAAGCGGTAAATAAACCAGCATCCCAGGCAGAGGTGCCACACAACCTCACGTACTGGATCATCACCAGTTTACATGGGCACCAAGCACTGAGAACGCTCAGACGAACGGCTACAACGGGCTAGCCGAACAAGCCGAGCTCTACAAGCTCTAGGTGGACAGCCTACAGCATGACTTACAGGAGGGAGATCAGCGTCTGAACGAACGGGATGACAGACTTCGGGCAATGTAAGGCAGCTTGCTACGTTTGGTAGGGTCCTTCGGAGTAGCCACCCCTGGAGCAGGAGAACCGATACAGCGTCGGGACGGATCAGTGCCACCCCCATATACAGCAGGCGAGGACACAGTCGGGACTC